CCTTTTGTATCCTTAAAATGTGGCTTTTGTTAATTTGTGTAATGGGTAATTAACTGTATCAAACATACCTGTTCTGTATTTCTTGGACAAATTTGGCCTTCTGTTTGGAAACAACTGAACCTATAAGGAGAAATAGATGAAGAGAAAGATCCCAACTGAGCAAACCACCACCAGTGCGATGTTTAAGATGATTTTGGTTGTTGGAGGTTCGTAGAGAAGCTCCTCCACCATCTTCTCCTGTTCTTGAACTGTTATGGCCTGATCTTTGGACAATTCCTCCTTGAATCCACAAAACCAATCCAAAACCTTAATGCAACATCCACGCTCCTCTTTTGCGTCCCCTGCTCCACAGCTCTCGTCTTCCTCCTCCACTCCTCTTCTTTCCTCATTTTCTACCATTTTGGAGCCTGAACTCTGAGCACAGCCACCATTCTGTATTGAATAGGTTGTTTCTATATCTCTTGCTGTGACATTATTGCTGCTTCTTGATTGGCCATTTTTAAGATTTGTCTCAGAGCCATTGAGCAAGTTTGGGTTCTTGTGACACTTTTCTTCACCAAGAACACCGTTTCCATTAAAGGCTGAGTGATTTAGGGGTTTCAAAACATTGACGTCTTTTTCTTGATTTTTTAGCTTCTTTGTCTTGTTTAGTCCCCAGAGAGTAGTGGTTTGGATTTGTCCCTCTTCGGGTGGAGGAGTGCAAAGACTCACAACAACAGCCACCAGAGATGATATCCAAAACAAGATGGCCGCCACATACATGTAATGGATATCTTTGATGAAGGATGGGCGTTCATCAGGCTGATCGCAGAGTTGCTCTCGATAAACAAATGCCAAAGCCAAACGGACAGCTCCAAGGAAAAACCCTACCATCCCTCCCCAAAAGGCACCTGTCTCATTACAACGACGCCACAGGATGCCAAGCAGGAAGAGAGCCGCTATGGGCGGAGTCAGATAATCTGATACTTCTTGGATGTAGTAGAATATCTGGCCTCCCTGCATTTCAATGATCACAGGCACCCAGGCGATGCTTATGATCACCATGAAAACGACAAACAGCCTGCCTACTATCATTAGCTCTCTGGACGACGCCCGCTTTCGTAGCATCTTGTAAATATCTAGGGTAAAGATGGTGCTTGCAGAATTAAAGATAGAGTCCAAGTCGCTCATTAGAGCTGCAATCATAACAGCCATCATCAACCCGCGGAGACCGACGGGCATTACTGACATGACGAGCCTTGGGTAAGCCACATTGCTGCAGCCAGCTGCAGAGCCACACACTTCAATGCAGTGCTTTGGACTGATACATGCCAAGTC